TCAAAGCACTTAAGCAGAGGCTGTTTAAGTCAATTGCTGTAGGAAAATATGACTGCATTTTCTATGCAAGAAAGTATCACAACTGGATTGTTCATTTCTTTTTGAGGAAAAACTCCGAGAAAATCAAGTATCGTATTACTATCTTAGAGTAACATATTATAAAATTAGCATCCTATTAATTGCCCATTATTCTTCAGTTATATCTTCAATGTAAGTCTTCTGCCAATACATCACCTCATTTTAGCACCAAACAGTACCCAGTTTTGCTTCTAATTTTAAATATAAAAAGGCCCTCAGATTAAGATAGACCATTATGTTCAAGATCTTATTTGTATAAATAGTTAAATCTTATTTCCAAGTTTTTGTACTCATAAGCATTTCATTGCAAGACGAAATTCAATTAATAATTGAAAGTTTATTTGCTCATGATCAATTAAAAAGAGGATGTAAAGTATAATCTGGCTATTCTTCTGGAGCTTAAATATTCACTTTTTTCAAAAACTAGCCCATTAATTTCTATAACTTGACTTTGATTTTATTTTAAGGACACCGGAAATTTTAAGGCTGAAGTTTCAACACATACATTTTAGCTTACACTAACTAAAAACAACCCCTCCTTAGTATTATAGTGCACATTTTCATAAAATGCTTCTCAAGTAATGTTAAGGTAAAGACTAGAGAAGTCTGAAGGTTATGGACTACACAAAATCCCAAACAAAAAATTCAAATCACACCCTGAATATCCTCCCTCTCTTTTTAGGAATGTCTGTAAGCTAGCCCAACATCGCAGGTCTTGGGCAGAAGCATGCTGATGTTGGCACTGCCTAAACCAAACAAACAAGATGTTTAACAGTCAAATAAAATGTCCTGCAACCTCCCTAATGAATTTGTCAAGGACCATCAGATTTCTCTCCCCCTCTTTTGCCTCATTAACTCAAGTATGATGAGACGGATTATAACAAGAGAATACAGATCAATCGGTCTGAAGACCTGAAGTGGCTTTTAGCCTCTAGAGTTTCTTTCTCTCACTTGGTCTCCTTTAATAGAATACGGTATCTCCTGCAGAAGGGGCTGCCACTTCGTTTTAATACACCATCAAGGAGCTGCTGATGGACTTCTATACTAACATACATAAAAGCAGAGGTGACAGGGGCTCTTCAATTACAGCCTCCTCGGATACCGTTTCCCCCTTCAATTATTCAACCAGAGGAAGAGCGGATCCGCAAACACACAGCTGAAGCAGCTCTTAGAGCAGAGGGAGCCAGAGTGAGTTGGGGTGGGGGAGGGGGGAAGAAGGAGGAAGGGAACGAGCAAGAGCGAGCATTATTTGCTGGAAGTGTTTAAGTTTATTGCTCGAATGATGTTTCTAATTAGTACCATGGCAATAAATTAAAGTCGTCTTTGTTTAACTGATTTATTATTTACTACAGCATCTACCTTAGACAGGGTAAATTGGTAATGAATTGTTTTTAAATCAAAACATTTGTAACGTTTTATCATCCCTCAGTCTCTGTGTGTAAAAGTGGAGAAACCCAGAGACAAGGGTGCCACGAAACTTGGTCGAGCCCGACAGAGCCGGAAAAAGAGGAGTGGGGTATCAGGGAGTGGTGGCGCGAAGATCCGCGTGGCCGGGCCGGCGCCTACCCAGGGACCCGGGGGTGGGGGGTGGCGACGCCGCACTGGAGCTGGGAAGATGGACAACTGCCGTCACCCCCGGGACTTTTTGCAAACGCTCCCCGGGACTTTTTGCAAACGCTCCCAGGAACGTCGCGGGCCAGGCCGGTCCACGCGCAAGGCCTTCCCTGCTCGGGTACCCGAAATGAGTAAGCAGCAGCCACCTCCAGGGTCTGGGAGGGAAAGCTCCGCACCCTCCAACCCCAGCACAAGTCTCCGCCCAGGAACTGCCCCGGGGCGAAGCTGCAGTAGATCCTCTCAGGGCTGGCCGAACAACTCTGCAGCAAAGTGTCCCTCCTGCCCGGTAATATTTCCCAGAGCGCCAGTGTGACCTTCAAAGCATTAGCCGGGGTACCTACAGAGTCTGGGCTTCGCACTCGCGCGAACGCCGAAGACGACACGGCTCGGCTCTATCCTTCCGCCGCCAAGCACTCCCGAGATGAAAGCTGCGCCCCCAGCAAGGCGGGACCCAAACGCCGCCCCAAGTCACCGCCACTGCGGGAGAAGTTGACTAAAGCTCTGCACCCCAGAGTATGGTGTTTGCTTACTTCCGACTGTACTTCCCAACTCCGGCTACCAAAGACGTATTCTTCACAAAATCCGACTTGATTTTTTAAAAAGCCAACCAGTTCTTTAGAAAGAGGCTGTGGCAAAGAGAGTGAGGGGGGCAAGCCACCAGTGGTCTGCTCGACAGACATAAGAAAGAACCAAGAAGTCCAAGTATCTGACATCAAGTACATGGAGAGAAATAAACTTTCCTTATGCAACTGAATTCAGGTTTACCTGGTCCAGCTTTTAAGAGGGCACCTCAAGCCCTCCCAAGAGCTTTTGCAAAAGCAGCAGGCACACCGGTTTTGCAAAAGGAAGTGTTTGCCCAAATGGCTTCATAGATTTTTTATTTATGTCATTATCAGAGAATATCGAAAATCTAACCAAAAGTAATTCCATCTACTTGATTTGTCTTAAAAAGACTCAGCATCAAGACACCTGAGGTTCAAACATAAACCCTCCATACTAAGCAAATCAAAAACACTGTTACAGTTTCTTTCATCCAAAAGTAGGGAAAGGCTACAAGGGGTACAGCTTGAAAGTATAATACATATACTAAAAGCACATGCATGAGTTTCAGTGAAATGCCAAGGGAGGAGTGAAGCCATCTGTGTAATCAATAACAGGATAGTTATAGATTTTTGCAGCAGTGAAGTCTTTTAAAAGCAACAGTCAATTATGAAAATAAAATCATTTTTACAAGTGAAACTCTACTGCCTCAGAGTATATTCAAAATTAGGTTTATAATATCTAACATTTTAAGAAAACTTTAACTCAGGTTCACTTTTACAAATTATTTTCATTTTTATTGTTTAAAACAATTTTAGTGGCTTAGTTAATTTAAAAGTACATCCAACAATATTCTACCACATACAAATTTGCACTCTTTCTCAAGACTTAAACATATTTTATCTCTAATAACTAGTCTTTTTAACAAAAGTAATAGCATAAAAATATCTGAATCTTAATTAAGAAGTAATTATCAAACAAGGTGCCTGCACTATTTTTACTCTGCCCCATTTTTCAACAGGATATGGAAATTACTGAAAAGAGATTTATGGTCATAAACCTTCACCCCATATCCATTCCACACACACACCCCAACTGGTGCACACATACAGCAATTGCTCTGGCTCTTGGCAGCAATGGGAGAGAAGGGGAAGAGAAGGGAGGGAGAGTTTGCCAGAGGAGAAAATCTAGAAAAATGTAGGTTCTTTCCAAGATTGCCCATCTTCCTTCTATTTGCCTTCAAGCAAAAGTAATTTTCTCAGAGTTTGCACCTTCTGCACAATGTTGGTAGGAAGAAAAAAAAAAGTGAACCTTTCTCAACCACTGCTACTCTCTCGCCGTTATTCCAGCCATCTCCAGGAAGTCCCTTCTATATAGACTCTTTTTCTTCCTTGCAACAGATAAGAGGAGAGGATAAAGAAGAAGGGGGCTGTAAAATGTGTGTGAGCATTTGACTTCTACTATCTCCTCCTATTTTCTTACTTCTCTCTTTACCCCCTTTCTTTATCAAGTGCAGCGGTCGCGGCTACTGTCTGCCAAGCATGCCTGTCTTCTCTCTCGGATTGGTTAAAGCACTGACAGCTCGGGTAGCGATTGTAGGAACTGAAGCTCCACCCCCCTCATGATGGCCCTGGACCATTCATAAACTAAATAACTCCAGGAAACAGCAAGGCAGAGAGAGGGAGAGGGAGAGAGAGAGAGAGAGAGAGAAGAGAGAAAAGAGAGGAAGAGAGAGAGAGAGAGAAGGAGGGAGGAGGGAGAGAGAAAAAGAGGGAGGGAGAGGGAAAAGGAGAGAGACGTCGGAGGGGAGGAGGGAGAGACGACTCAGAAAGTGGAATCCGCACAAGCAACCTAAAGGGGGAGGAGAAGAAAAACCCCTGAATCCTTATAACTAAACCCCAGATGCAACGCAAGCAAGGACTTCGTCACACTAAAATAGATTTTGTGAGGGCCAAAATTATAAATTACGAAGCAGAAATGAATACCAAACAACTTTCAGCGGTTTGCACCTAGAGAAAGACAAGAAGAAGCCACTGCAAACAAACAAACCCAGTCCAAACAACGCCTCCAGTAGGAAAGAGGAAAACCGCTACAAGAGGACCCCCTGAGAAGAGACCAGACCGTCAGGCTGAGAGTGCGGGGCATCTGCAAACCTCCAAGTGTGCCTCGGACTGAGCTGCACTTCACTGCTCTCTGGACCTTAATTACGTCTTTCACCTTCCATTTGGGGGAGGGTGAGGAAAAAGGCACTTACCTACGCTGAGTGAAGAAGTCCTACCAGCGTGGGAGAGAAGTTTAAGAATGAAACACTGAATGTTTCGCTTTTATTTTTAAATTTACTTTGGCACTTAAAAGACCTTATTTCCAGATTTCTGGGCAATCTTGGCTGCAGGCATCTAAGCCTCACCTCTTGGTAACCTGAATTTTTCTCTCACCCCCCACTTCCCCCACCCCCCTTCATCTCTCTTACAATCACATCTTTATTTTACACATCAAGCAAAAAAGTCCCAGCAGGTACTTTTCCTCTTCAAAGATTACCTTTTTTACTTATTTCTGGAGAAGAAAAAAGGTTCCTAAAGAGGGGAAAGAGCGAGCTAGCCGGCTGTTTTGTCAGCCGGTCAGTCCAGGTGGAAACCAAGAGCGAAAGTGGGGCTTAGGGGGAGCGTGACGCCTCTTTTGCCAGCCGCAGGGCCACCACCACTGCGTGAGCCTTGGATCCCTCAACGTATTGCGAGACGCCGGTGTATAGCCCGGACCTGTGCCCCAACATGATCGCCGCTCAGGCCAAGCTGGTTTACCAGCTCAATAAATACTACACTGAGCGCTGCCAAGCACGCAAGGCGGCCATCGCCAAGACCATCCGAGAGGTCTGTAAGGTGGTCTCGGACGTGCTAAAGGAAGTGGAGGTACAGGAGCCTCGCTTCATCAGCTCCCTGAGCGAGATCGATGCCCGCTACGAGGGGCTGGAGGTCATCTCGCCCACGGAATTCGAGGTGGTGCTCTACCTAAACCAGATGGGCGTCTTCAACTTCGTGGACGACGGCTCCCTGCCTGGCTGCGCGGTGCTCAAACTGAGTGATGGACGCAAGCGGAGCATGTCTCTCTGGGTCGAGTTCATCACGGCGTCCGGCTACCTCTCGGCGCGCAAGATCCGCTCACGTTTCCAGACCCTGGTGGCTCAGGCGGTGGACAAGTGCAGCTATCGGGATGTGGTCAAGATGATCGCAGACACCAGCGAGGTCAAGTTGCGCATCAGGGAGCGCTATGTGGTGCAAATCACCCCTGCGTTCAAGTGCACCGGTATCTGGCCTCGCAGTGCGGCACAGTGGCCTATGCCCCATATCCCGTGGCCCGGCCCCAATCGGGTGGCGGAGGTCAAGGCCGAAGGGTTCAACTTGCTGTCGAAGGAGTGCTACTCACTGACGGGCAAGCAGAGCTCTGCAGAGAGCGATGCCTGGGTGCTACAGTTCGGGGAGGCTGAGAACCGCCTGCTGATGGGCGGCTGCCGAAACAAGTGTCTCTCGGTGCTGAAGACGCTGCGGGACCGCCACCTGGAGCTGCCAGGCCAGCCGCTCAATAACTACCACATGAAGACGCTGCTGCTGTATGAGTGCGAGAAACACCCGCGGGAAACGGACTGGGACGAGGCGTGCCTAGGCGATCGGCTCAACGGCATCCTGCTGCAGCTCATCTCCTGCCTGCAGTGCCGCCGCTGCCCTCACTACTTTCTGCCCAACCTCGACCTTTTTCAGGGCAAGCCCCATTCGGCCCTGGAGAGCGCTGCCAAGCAGACCTGGAGGTTGGCCAGGGAAATTCTCACCAATCCCAAAAGCCTGGACAAACTATAGGGTGCTGGGGACTGCTTGAAAAGCGACACAAATGGGAATGCTCTCTTACACACAACTCACACAACTCAGCTACAAACAGCAGAAACTCCGGACACAAACTTTTACATAAGCCACCTGAAAGAAACAGGAAGCAGGCACAAGACCTTCGTTAATTAACAAGCAAACAAAAAGAGAGCAGACCAGCCAACCAAACAAACAAAATCACATTCTTGCACAAAAGTGATCGTTTTTTCTTCCAAACAATGTGAATTTAAAAGGTCACACAAAAGAAGCTATCGGGCTTTGCCACCACAAAATGAAACCCAAGGTACATTTTCAAATCAATGTATAGTAGTTTCTCCTCTTTTCCTTCTCTCCCTTTCTCCCCTCGCTCATCTTCTTTCTTTCCCTCTTCCTCTCCCTTTCATTTCATTTTGTTCTGGGTTGCCTGAATGTTGTCACCAAGTGAGAAAAAGTATTTAATTATATGTAAAATTTCTCTTTTAAAAAAAGTTTTGGTGATGTTAAATGTATCTCAGTGCCAATGTCAGATTGTGCCCCTCCCTTTCTTGCACCTCTACCCTCACCCTAAGCAGTCTTGTTGAAAACAGTAATAAAAATATTACTTTACATTGTAATTGACTGTGGACTGTTCTTAAATGAGGTGAGATTATAATTGATAATTTACAATGTAAGGATATGAACTTCAGGAACTAAATGCAAGAGAAGCTTTTACTGGAACTCTAATTTTCAAAATTTACAAATACAGCCCTTTTTGTAGATTTAACCATACAAGTCCCCCCACTCCCAATCCTTGGAAAAGAGAAAATATTAATTTTACCCAACTATAGTATGTTTGTTCTGCAAATTTTGAGGTTGAAAGTAATCGTTTTCTTTACACTTGAAAAAAGTAGATTTTTTGTGTGGAAGGAAAGATTTTGGTCCTAGTGTTTAAAATAGAAAAAACTGATTTCACATTAAAAATTAAGAGATTTGCTTTCTTACATCACACTTTTAAAAAATCAACTCTGAGTCTGAAAAACAAAGGCAATATTCATGGATCTTTTCTTGATAGTTAACATGATCAGTTGATACTTTGCTATCAATTATTTGTCCTCTTGGAACTTTAAGTAACAAAAACTTAACAATTCAATCAACCACACCAAAAAAGAATAAAATGGTTGCAACAATATTCCTTTTCCCCAGCAAATGGTGATATGAACAATACAGATTTAGAAACTACCTCAGTTTTTTAAGGTTTAGTTATAAATGCCATAATTAAGACCATTATTTGCCAAAATCCAGAATTATTCAGAAGGTGCTTACAGGCAATTGAAACAAAAAAGTTTTTAATACCATTTTTATGACCAAAGAAAAATTACTGTTTCAAGAATTTACATACAGAAAAAGTACATTACTCCTTCTGCTTTTCTAAGGTAATAATCCAATGTATACTTGTTTTAAGACTTCATCTAAATTAACAAAGGTTTCTTTTTAATACAAGGAAATAACAGTTAAAAATAAAATAATGAGTAAAACTGAAAGCATCCTAAAGGAGCTGGTTTGGATTGTCTTCTTTATGTTGTCTTCAATATATTCCATTAGATATGCTAATAATGAGGCACAGGTACAGAAAATATGTCAGATATTACCTTTAACATTTAAAATTTATTCTTTGAATTAGTCCAGTTTTTAATTTATTGAAAAATCCATGAAGGAGAGATGGAGGCAAAAGTGTTCTAAAAAGGAATTTTAAAGATCTAAGGAAGAAGTCTGCATGGGGGAGGGAGAGTATGGAGGGATGATCGGCAGGACAGCAGAGATGGATAAAAACAAGGAAAGTACTCAGGGCTCTGATGCCTAGAGTTCACTTGACAAAAGAGGCTTAAGTTCTCAGATTCCCTGGTAAAAATTTCCTAGTAAAAATAGTTTTGTTTTAGAAATATAAACTTTGATCTTATCAGTTCTGAAATAATCTCTACTCTTTCAACCAATACTGTATCTTTTTCTGATCTCTCTTCCTATAGATGTAAAACAAACTCACTGTAATACTAAGTGGTTCAGACAAAAATACTAATTTTTTTTTTAATAATAAAAATGAACTATTCTCCAGGGAAAATGTTCTGATTTTTAGGAACATTTTCAAAGCAAGTAGTAGGTGCTCACATTTACAAAGAAGTCATTTAAAGGTACAATGTTTAGTTTAAAAGATAAAAATGACATCTTAAAATGACCTTTTTTTCCTTATGCACACAAGTATTTACAGCATGAGACACTATCTCCCTCCAGCTACCCCAGGAAGAAGTTTTTAAGTCCTGGCAAAAAGAACAAAAATTCCCCCAATTCGGCAATTTTTCCCCTATCTTATTTAACGCAGGTATCACCAACAAAAAAAGAAAAACACTGCCACAACACAAGCATCCTCATTTACAAAATACCTAAAAGCACCAACATCTACACAAAATAAAAATTTCTTTCAATAATTGAAAAATTTTAAGAATATAAATTAGCAAAACTTTGATTTCCGTAACACTAGGCAGAATGCAGGGGTACAAGACAAATGCTGTAATTATGCTAAAAGATCTTTGTACTGCATAAGCAATAGGGGAAAAATTAATTTAATGATATTGCAGAGAATAAAATCAGAGAGAAATGAAAGTTTTAAGTTCTCTCAAAAGGAGTAAATAACTTTAAAGAGCCTCACTGCAAAGATTGGCAGAGATCCTAATCTTGAGAACAATTATGTTAGACACCTTTAAATTACATCACATTTTAGATTCTAGGCCACATATGTCCAAAAGCATAATAGAACATTCTGAATTAAATTCAACCTCTCAAACATACAAAGTACCATAAATTAGAGAGTTTAAGTAATTCTGGTTACCTTCATTTCCTAAAGAAACTAAAATACAATTTCAGATAGCAGAACCATGTAACAAAGTAGGAAATTTTTCCAGTTGATATAATTTCACAATTAAAGTTTTCTCTATATTGAATTGGCTGAATTAACAAGTTCAAAACAATCACTTCCAACGTAGCCTTCCTTTCATACGGTCTACCAAATCTTATCTTAATAAAGGCAGCAACTGCAAAACAAAATGCTAGAAACACATGTAAGACAAGAGATGATTTGTTTGTAAAGTTTTAAATAAAATTACACCATTTTCATCAATGATTGCTTTGAAATACTTCAAAATCACTAAAATTTAATAATTCACATGATTACATTACCAAAGAACTTCCTACCAATAAACTCAAAATATGTGTGTTCACACAAGCTATCTGACCATAAAATAGTAATTCCATTTTTTAAGCCACTTCTCTTCTACAGGTTGCTTATTTTGCTCATTTTAAAAGAGACTGTTTCCTATCAGAACAAATTCTACCATTCACTTTCATGAAATAAACCCAGCTTTGGCTTTATGGCTATGCCACAAATGTTTCTTAGTAAAATAAAGTTGCCAAGGTCTGAAAAGTAATCAGAAATACATTTTAAAGGGGAAATTACATTTTCATTTAAGAATAGGAAATTATGCAGTGCCTTGTAAAATCGACTGTAGGTAATGGGAAACAGAGGTATCTCACACACATAAGACATGCTTGCGTGCACAACAGAGTAGTAAGTCATGAGGACAAAGCAAGGAGAGTGATATATTGGTATTATATCCAGAAAATATAAAGGCTAAACAAAATAATTCCACTCTCAACCTCACTGAATTTTGTAGCTTAATTCACCCTGGAACGTTTGTGGCAAAATATATTTATGGACGATACTCCCTGTAGTTCCCCCCCAACCCCGGAATGAGCTAATGATAAACGCAATTAAGTGGAAATTGTTTTTGAATCTAAATGAACTTCAGTAATCTAACTTGCTGGTAAGGGAATCATAAGCTAAACAAGATAGTAGTCTTGCATACAGGCAGAAGCAGTTCAGCAAGAAATTCAAACTAAATCTGTCAGATTTTACCAATGCCAATCCTACCCAACAGCAGCCCACCATCCCATCATAAGAAAAAAAATGCTTTAAAGTGAAACCCACTCCTCCTCCTCTTCTCACCTTGGGGTCGATTTTCTTGAAGTGAGAGTCCTCTTCATCCACCTCAAAATAGAGTTCGGAGGAGGTGACAGAAAGAGTGCCCTTTACTACAACAGAGGGGGCCACAAGCTGAGCCGGTGTGCTCAGGCTAACAGGACCTGCCAAAAGCAAAACACAAGCCACACAATGGGATGACATTTTTCAAAAAATCTAGTAGATTCAAGCAGAAATTGTATTTTCAAATTCTCACCTCTGGGACCAAATTGTCTGCCAAATTGTCTACACTTACAAATTCTGTCTACCCCAAAGCTGCCTCTGAAAATGCAAAGTTACTGGGATTCTTATACTAAGAAATTTATAGTAGGCAGTTAATGATAATAGTAAACTAGGATGCAATTATTTCACAGGGAGTCTGCAAAGCTTTGGTCTAACCTCCTGGTAAGAAGGTGGCTCTGCCTGAATGAGTCCTTCCACACTGCATTCAGAAAACAAGCCTCAGGCTATGCAACAACACGGAACAACAACCAGGAGCAAGGAAGGCTCAATGGGCTTCCAAGGCCAGAGGTTAGCTTAGTTTGGCTGAAGTATGATTACGACAAAGATCACTAGCTTATTAGTGAAGTGAGAAACGTTACACCATATTCTCTGATAAAGATTTTGTGCCAGGTTGACACAAAACCTCTTCCATAACAACTTTACCCCATGAAAAATTGGTAAAAATACTTCTTTTCTAAGCCTGCCTTTCCACTGCTAAATATTGTTCAATGCTTCCAAATCTAATATTAGTATAGTTCAGGGACTCTGGGAGTAAACAGCTGGAGGGTGGGTTTCCAAGTGAATGAATTTTTATTGGAATAATCAAATCTCCACAGGGCTTATCAAAGAGACAAATCAGCCTGCTACTGAAAACAATAGATTCACTACAGATAGACGAGCATAAAGTATATTAGAGCTAAACCTAAAATAAAGGACAAAAAGTAATAAT